GTGACCCTACGATTGTCGACGACGAGAACTGCAAGTCGGCGAGTAGACGCCGATAAGTCGCGCGTGCTAAGCGCCGTTTCATTTTTCATTCACATTCACGATCGATATAACTTATGTCGCTATTGCTTTCTTATTGTCTCGGATCGCGAAATAAACCTCAGATTTACGCACGCATTGTTAATAAGGTATATAGGCAAATAAATAAATTGTCATTACTGTATATCATGATCAAAGTCTATTTTTAAGTTACTGTTACTTTGACAAGTTTGTAATAGTGTGTAAGAATTGTCAGTTTTAATTCTCAAGAGATAAATCAGGCGAATTTTTATATAATAAAATATTTTCGATGAAAATATATGTATGTCTACAAAAATTATATAGCTTTTACCTTAGCTACCTATTTTTGAAACTAACTATATACAAACTTTAAAAAATTATATTCAACAATATATATATGTCATTATATACATATATGCAAATACATATATATACTATATAACCTGTCAGCCTAAATCACTAAGAAAATCTCTCATTTTAGAAACCATCAATCACTTGTTATGTATGTTAAAAACAGTTTTCTTATTTTTCTCCCTTGAAATTTGCGAGTTTTTTTTATTTGAAACACCCTGTCACGTGTAAAATAAAAAAATACACACGGTAAATGTTTAATCGCTTTTATTCTTAAGGTCTTAAGGCCTTAATGGCCGGGCAAATAATTTAAGATTCCATCAGCTATGAGTTTTAGATGATTTGACAAGCATATTATGTCGCGATTATAAATCGTCATTTCGCAAGGAAAATTTTCTTTAAGTAAATATCTCACGAAATGCGGGCTCGTTTTAATCCCCAACCATGGAAAAAGCCACGATTCGATAATTCGCCCGTGGAGATACGAAGGGGCTTTACATGCTATATTCTGCAAGTATGTAATAATTTTCGCTTTTGAGTAATTATCGGCAGATGTATCCCGTCGAAAGCTTAGCAACGGTATTACATCCTGATCTCTACCGCGGCTCGTGGCTCTTTCACAATATGTTGGACGAATTATTTTTGGCGTGCCAGGTCCGTACACACGTCAATCCGTTTGATGGATAGACTGGAAGATCAGAAAAGAGTACCGGCAACTCTCTCGAATATATAGCTCGGCATAGTGAAGCCGGCTTCGCGTGCGACGCAGCTGAGGAAATAATCGCATCGATTTAATTTGTATTTCGTACCAACTGTATTTCCATCAATTTCCGCGATATCTCTGATACTTGATTTTTTTATATATTAAAACAGATATGTATGTCAAATATATTATAAATTTACAAAATTAAAAATAATTTATTTAATTTAACGTTTTATTCATTATTTTGCTTAATATAATATATTTGAATGAAATAAAATAAATAATTAAGTTTTTAATGAAATTATTTATTTTATTTTGCTCCAATATATTATATTAAACAGTAATTATATAGGAGTTTTCAGTAATTTGCAAAAAAAAGCTCTTATCTGATAACGATCTTGTTATACAGGAGATTATCTCTTGTTTGAATAAATTTCACATGTTGTCTGATGAAACTGGTCAGTCGAGTTGCAGAGCGAGATTATACTTTATTAAAGTCGAAAAATATGACAGAACGAGAAATAAATTGATTATCTCGACATCGTTCTTCGAATGAAATAATAGTCGCATAATAGTCACAATAGTGCCAACTTTATGGTGCTTTAGATAGCCGCTTGATCGCTAAGTTGGCTCCAACATCTACCATTCACCAACAACTGCCGGTTTTCGAAGTCGTTCTAAGTCGTTCCTAGATCGTATGCGCAAAGACCAAGGTAAAGGTTAATTACCTTGTTTCCCTCGTCTTCGATGACGATTTCTACGATCGCGATAACATCTTATAAACACTTGCTTGTTGAATTAAAAGATATCGACAGCTAGTAAGATTTTTTGCCTACATCTTTTTTCCTATTTTATTTATTTTATTTTCTAACAAAAAATAATAAAACAATTTAATAAAAAGTAAAACACGCAACAAAAATTTATTTTGATTGTTATATGTATATATCACGATATATCTCTGAAATTTATGAGCATTCATTTTTACAAATTAACTTCTCGTCCATTCTTTTTAACCCACCCATTTTCTGAGACACGTTGAAAGCGCTAACGACTCTTTAATGATCGAAGATAATGACCCTCAAAATTATATCTTATATTTCACTATTATTAGCCCCAGGCCAATCGGAGAGATTATTCGTTGCGTCTCGTATACCTCTTAACTATTTCAAGGTCCTTCGCGATATCCGCGAGATCTCTCTCAAGAAACGTTTAGCACCGCGCGATTTTGCTCGTTAGCACGTGTTGCTCGACTCTCGTCGAGGTACTTTTTTCGAATGTTGACAGAGTGGAGAAGATTTGCGAAGAGAATATATTTCGATGCATATATCGACGCTACGTCGATGTTTTCACGGAGATTTCGGTAAATAACAAGAAACGCTAAATTCTCTGTTTTGTTAACCAGTTCTTTCGCGGACCTGTGAGTTAGCTAAGTAAGATTTATCTCGCTAGGAATTTGTTCGCGAAACAATAAACTTATCAGTTGAAACATTAGCGTTCCAGTTTCAGCGAGCATTAATTTAGACACGACTATCGCTTAACTTTATATGTATATAGTCAACAGGTGAACTTGTATGTCGAAGATACGACTTTGGAGTATCCGATAAGAAATTACTGCGAGGAAATTGCTCGTGTTAGTTGTCGAAAATACCACGATAACGATTGATAAAAAAAACATCGATATGCGATTTATTAATATTGCTCGATCGACGTTGCGATTTTTGTAGAAGCGAGAGGCTTCTTTACCTTTGACTAAAGATTCGCACTGTCGAGGCTGATCGTTCGTGGCCTGGCGTGGCCTCCAAGCGAGTACCGCTCTCCTGGCAACCCGCCAAAACTTATGCCAGGTTTCAACATACCGGCCGACATGAGTATTTTCGGTTTCGCGGCGAAACGACGAACGGGTCTCTCTCTCTCTTTTTCCGCGTCTCTTTCTCTTTCGATTCGTTTTCCTCTCGATATAAAGGAAAACGAAGGGACGATCTGCACCGTTAGATCGGCAAACAAGCTGTTGTCGTCAGACGACTTTTCCGACGACGTAAATCGATTAGTTCAATTTTCGACGCTGCAATATATATATATAAAGTCTTGTTTACTATTCTTATCATACTATGTATGGTGTTGAAAATTGAAGCGACCGAAATTAACCGGTTTTGCGGATTCCTCGTCTCTTGTCTGTTCAGCCACTTGTCGAGGCACACGTGTAAATACGCTTAATTAACGTTCGGCACGAGGAGTGTACGACGGTACACGATTAATCTCGTGATAAAACGTTCTCTTGTTACACTAGTAAAGTTACAGGCCATTTGGTCATCATTATCCCGGAGGAAAATAATACGCGATCGTTTCTTTTTCACGATTCATTTTCCAAGAAATCTTCCCGGTCAAGCTATTTTGCAATACTCGCGTATGATTAATATATAAAAAGCGGTCGGATCAAATAGCAATCATTTAATATCATGCGTTATTTCATGATACAATAATAGTTCTTGTGTATCCAACAATAACAGCAACATCATTAGCTGCGTGAATTCAAACGTAATTTATTAATGCAACTAGTATTCATCATCACAAGAACTGTTCTATCTCTTTGCATTAGTCATTCTCTGTTAGTCGGTCGGTCAATCAGTCGATAATAATAATATACGAAGAAAAGACTAATGTAAAATGTGTTAATTGCACAATTATATGCCTCGGAATGCGAAGCCTCAATAATGAGATATAACTTCCTCGTCGAAAGTCGACGTAAGAGTACACGACACGAGACTGGAAATAAACTTCAGATTGCCTTATCGAATTAATTATATTACATAATTATCCTAGCGATTGACGACATTGCATATAAACGTAATGTTTATATATAATCATCTTTCGGTCGCTTCGTCATTTGAATGTAGGTTCACTGAACCTAAATTCCCTTGGACGAAGTACGCATAATGAATCGATATGATAATAACGTCGGACAGTCCCTGTTAAACACATGTTAAATAGAATGGATGAAAATCATTTGAATTCTATTTATATTTATATTTAACTCGAGATATTTGAACTCGATTAAAATATGTAGACTGAATAAATGTAATTTTGTTTGTATCAGATATAAAAAAAAAAAATCATAATAATTGAAAATTATTGACCCTCGTGTAGAATCGAATTTAAATAATCGACATTAGAAACCTATCGTATCCTAGGAAAAAGAAGAGATCGATTTTTCGTTGAGAATTATCATAGAGAATGCCCTTAAAAATATCGTTCGAGATATGTGCATACGCGTTCGGATACGTAACACGCACTTATCATTCACAGCTGGCAACGCGAAACACCGTCGCCGATGCATCTTGCGTCTAGTCCTAGAGTTGCTAGGCGAAATAGTCACGCGGTGCGCGCGTACATGCGTGTGCAGACTCGTCATTAGCGCGACTATCATTAGCCGACAAGGCCGACATTCAGGTCCGTCGAGAGGCGCCGCGGGTCCTCGCGTCATTTCTCAGGGTGCTAGAGTTTCAATGCCATGTGACGGGCAGCGTGATGTTGACTAATCGCTTTCTCTCTCTTTCTCTCAAAATCGCGCTTTTCTTTTACGAGTTTTCTTTTACAAAGAAGTGCGAAGAATTAATTAATCACACACGTTGTATAAAATCAATATATTGTAATAATCGATATGGCATATACGCAAGATATTGAATATAAAAGAATGTGTGTATAAATGTATGTATAAATACACGAGATTTCGAAACTTGTGTAGAAATGTTAACAATATACGCTGTTTTAGGCATCGTGATTTCAATTTATATACATATGTATGAGATTCAAGTGAATGCGTAAAAAAATTTATGCATAAAAATATTTACGAATAAACGAATAATTTGTTCACAGATTTACACACATATATATTCCCATTTTATCTCCTAAAAGAAACTTTACCCTTCCCTGATCTCGGAGACATCATCGGACGTGTTCGATGACTGAGAATCTTGTAAAGGAGGATCTTGAAAATGCATTTCGCCCGAATGTTCGGATATGGAAGTATCGCTTTTGTGCGAGACCTCGTTTTTGGAAGTGTCATTTCTCTTTGGTTCCGAAACCATCGCCTCGATTTCCATCTCGTTGCGATCAGCGCGCGTTCTTGTTCTCGTTCTGCTTCTGCCTCCTCTTCTTGTTCTGCTTCTTCGTCTTCTTCCTCCTCTTCTCGTTCTGCTTCGTCCTCTTCCTCCTCTTCTTGTTCTACTTCTTCTCTTTCCTCTTCTTGTTCTGCTTCTTCTTCTTCTCCTTCTAGTTCTTCTTCTTCTCCTTCGTCCTCGAGATCTGCCTCTCCTTTTCCCTCTCAATCTTTCTCTCCTTTTCTTTCTCTTTTCCAATTCTTTTTCTCTTTCCCTTTCCCTTCTCCTTCTCCTTGCTCTCAATTTTTTCCTCTTTCTTTCACGTACGCCGAATCGCCAAGGTTGACTCGGGCAAGGTTCTATCACCCCATCACCCGTTCCATCCCCCAACGAAAGCTGTTCGAGACAATTGCGATTGCACGAATAGTGGCCGCTAAAAATGTCAGTGAAATATTTTGACATAATAATTATTATTATCTTGGCATAAATTATAAATTATTACAGTTGCCTTCGGCATTTTACAACTTTTGTCGTAAAAAATATGCACCGTATATCGAGAAATAATTTATATATACCGGCAGAATCCACGTTTCGTTCGTTTAATTACTTGACATTTAAAAGTTAAATTCAGTCCTCTCAATGATTACATTAACACTCATTTATATATCGATGTATACATTACGTTACACCATCATATATGACGCAGCATTTATTTGATCAAGTGAGAGAGAGAGAGAGAGAGAGTACCGTGTGTGCAATGCGATCACAATATTTTTTCACAAAATGGGTCACGTATCTTTCGCACAATCGTGACTTAATCTATTGCGCTTTATTTTCGACCCAGCGGCTTTATCATTTCAACATTGATAAGAAGCTTTTTTGTGGTGCAGAAAAAAAATAACATCTTAAATTTATCCAATATATTACGTGGGATTTAATGTCTCTCTCTCTCTCTCTCTTTTGTCTAATCGATTGCAATTTTTAAGAAGTCAAACTATACAACGTTTCAAAATGTTCAAGAGATGTGATTTTAACGCGATTGATCTTCTTCAACTAAATGCTCACAATGTAAAAAAACTATTCGGAGAAAATTTTCTCTTAGAATTTACCCTGAAAATCATGTTAATCGTGAGACAATATTGTAAGAATTTGATTTTACTATGTACATGTAGTAAAATTAATCAAACATATTTTATATCTTATTGCGGTAGATATTAATATTTTTTATTGTCATAAATATTAATCAGAGAAATTCTTCCAATACCATATTGTCTCACGATTTTCAGAATAAATTTTAAGGGAAAATTCTGTCTGTGTACAAACATGCTATTATTTATTCATCAAAAATTACTCGAGAAATAAAAGCTATTTTTCCCTAGTGAAATCATCATCATGTAATCGGCGATGAATGGAAATATATTCGGATTTGTACCTCGCGGAACGCTGCAGAATCCCGTAGGATAAACCGCGTTTTAAAGCGATTTGAACTTGTCGTGCAATCTCGTTCTTAGGAACATCGTACTCCTGGGAAATATAGTTGCTAATTTCTTGCGACGTCGAGCCTTGCAGATCTTGCAATCTGCGTATAGCGTTTACAACCAGTGCCTCGACCTTTGGAGTCCGCCTGGCAGGCATCTCTACTAACGATTTTAGCAAATATATTCTGTGCACTGCGTGCGTACAGTCGTCGTTTTATAATTTTTTTATTATCAATGTCGTTACAATCGATCGTTAAAATATATAGATTCTGTGAATAAAACCCTATTATTTAACCCCAAATTTTTTTCCAAACAAATTTGAAATTTTGAAATTTCAAGAATCTACAGAGACCTAAAGATTCTCGCTACGTAAAGATTTAATGATGATCTTAAGGGCTTACTTAGATAGAAAAATGTAAGGATTTCTACCTCTGTTGAGAGGAAAATATGGTAGGAATGTTGATTATGCTTCCTTCCTTTCTAAGAACACGCGCCGCAATCCATCTGATATAAACACCGCAATAAAATACTAATAAAATATTAGAATGTTGACGGTACTAAAATCATTTTGTATCCCTTGTAATTTTTTAATCGAAACTTTTAATTCAGCACGGGAAATTTTCATTGATTTCAATAAAACAGTATCCAAGGGAAATGATAGTCATTCTCGTGACATAACGTAACATTGTTTTCTCGATTTTTTTTTTATCGAAGATATCGAAATCGCTATAGCCACGAAAATTTAAGGTGCAATAAACGAATGAGTCATAACCATGTTGCACATGTTGCAATAGATATTAACTCAGCTTTAAAAATATTCTGCGTCTACGAATCTCTCTATGGCAGAAATATTTTTGCTTTCAGAAAAAATCGCGCGGGTTTTGAGTATTCGCTAATTGCCATACAACTTTTACCGGTTTCCCTTGAACTTCGTTCTGAGCTATCTAGCACGACTCATGTGCAATCAGACAATCAAAGTACAGCGATGAAACTCCTCGCCTAGACGAATAAATTGCGATTAAATCAAACATGTTTAATATCTAAAAATCTCTCGCGAGTTGATAAACATTTGGTATATATCTAAATAAATATTTACATCCGATCCATAAATAGCGAGAAGAAATTTGCGATTATATCTAATTACTCATATTCATAAATTAAACTCTTTTATATGATTCCATACATTTGTTGCTTATTCTTTTCGATTGTTTTAAAAATTAATAAATTGATAAATGAAACGGATTTTTATAAATCAAAAAAGAAAGAGAGGAAAAAGATTTCATCTCAAATTAGTCTATTATGTTTTGCAGAATCGAAGTAATCATATTTAGCAACGTATAAAGCCACTACTATTTTAGGAAAGACAATGCTTTATAAATTAAAATGTCTATTTGCAGCGAGTCTGCTTCGTCTCCTCTTCCCTCGCTCTTTTTCTGCCACTATCTCGAACAGAAATAAAACAGCACAAAATGGCACCAGGGAAGCATGTCAGACCTTTGTGCCGTGACAGTTCGGAATTCTTTTCTTACACCTTCGTAAATATAGTTCTCTTCCGGCTGTTTGAATTATCAAAACGAAGTGTCGGAACACTATATATATAGTTACATTATCTTAAGTGAAAAGTATTACATTAAACCCAAAATTATATTGACACGCTACGCTATTGTGTTTTTAAAGTAGAATCAATGTATATGTTTATTTTAGGAATAAATTATTTTGTAAATTAAGCCGCACCGAGTTATTTATGCGTGCAAGGATTACATAGATGTCTCATACAATCGAAGAAAGATAGAAAGAGAGAGAGAAAGCGCATGTGTTTAAATAAATTCTCTTATAAATGCGTACAATATAGTGTGATAACGAGATGAGGTACGCTCATCTTATCATAAAACAGCGTGACTTATCGTCTTATCGATGGTGTTGCAGCTTTGAACATTGGCGAATGATATACGCTTTATTAGATTATTTATTTATGTTGCAAATGCGATCGAAATCTGTTAAAAGTGATCGACTGCTTTTTGAAGTACTTTCAATAAGATTATCAAAGACTCTGACTAACTTATCATTTTATGTTACTGGCGACTGAAAAGGAATAAATATATATCACTTCAAGCAATTCAAGCGTTTATTGATGTTTGCACTATATTTATATAGAATGTCTTATACTCTGATATCGTATATCCTTTCAGTTATTGATTTTTTACGAAGACTACCTTTTTTACTTGGTGGATACTCTTGATAAATAATTTTATATTTACATTATTTTAAGTATTTGTTTTTAATGCTGAGTAACTTGATAATTAAGATTCAAGTTAAAATTTTTTCTTAAAAAATTTTACTTAAAAAAATATAATTAAAATTGCTATTTAAATTATTATTATTTAAAATTACTACTGATGGGATGTCTTAATGTTTATGTTAAAGATAAAAAATGTAATATTATTCCAAGATGAATTCATATATTTTAAAATAGAAAAACTGAGTAAATATATGTATTCTATGTACATGCACACACTCATATATATATTTTTCGAATAATTTCATGACTTTATGAGCTAGTGTATAAAAAAATCAAACTCGAGCATGAAGATGGAAAGATTTTATATTGAATATTGTTAGCGCAAGTTCCTGCAGAGTGCAGCACGAATCACACGAAGACTCTACTGGCATCTGGTACAACTTCAAGGAAATTGGTTTTACCGAAAGTCCATTACATTGATATATCACGATAACACAGAAATCGTTAATATCTAGATTTGATAGCTTCATCGAACAATTTTTTTTCGTGCTACACTCTATCCGGGATATAATAATAAAATTTTATTCACCCATACCATATATATATCCGGCAATTATGAGAAATAGTTGACGAAATATTGCGACAATTTTTTTCTCAACGCACACGTTTAGTTACGTGCAAAAAAAAAGAGAAAAAAATGTTTGAAAGTTATTAATAAATTTCCACGGGACGATATATGTATGTGCGTCTTCAAAGCATTCACCTGTGCAAGGGCACCGGATACGCGGATCGCACACATAAATATGTTGCAGACCACTAATGTCACACGCGACACACATACACGTTCCCAGACAAATGATGATTACTGCCGGTACATCAATGTTATGTGCTCAATAGCAATAGAAACTAGCCATATAATAGAATTGACGTGCATTTTGCATTATTTATATTTGCGCTCCTATAATTAATGTAAATTTACTTATAGCTTTTAGTAAAATAAGATTGCGATGTGTAAGTATATTTAACCGATGGAGATAATTGAAAAATAAATTCTATTTCTCAACTCGAGGAATACTTATCGTCGAGAAAAACGCTGTTTGCAACAGATACAAATTCCCGAAAAAGGCAAGAGATGACTGATGGTCTCGAAGTGATAGTTTGGAAGAGAAGAATATTTTTTACCATGACATGGCACACATATATACAATACACATACTCATACGTATGCGCTATTAATGTGAGTCCATTGTTAGTATTTTCGACCTTGCAACACGCGAGAGAATATGCATGGGGAACAATCGGGACGGTCAAGGAGAACTTATTGAATAATCAGCTTTGTGGGGAAAAAACCTGATTGCGCCGCCTATGAATGAAAAGAAGGAAGCCATGAATTTCTGATTACCGTATACACTTTGTAAACACTGTTTCGGAGCGGAGATCACGAATGACGTTTTGTATCGTTCGTGGACAGGCAAAAACCTTTACCATAATCGTACCGTCACTTCCTCCGTCTGTAAAGATTTTTGCGACAGGACAATAATGACTAGAGGAACAGAGTCTCTAGAAGGTGAAAAAAATTACATTCTCAGAGCAATCATATCCTAATCGAAATATCTTTTTTTCGTCGCGAAATGTCTGTCTGAAAAAAATGTTACGTCAACCGAATGCGGGTACTAATGGATTTATGGTAGAAAGAGTTTCGGGAACGATGTTGCTAAACGCGAATAAAATCGATAGAAGCATATATTATCCGCGGCAAACGAATGTACCGGATATAATCTAACATACTTTCTCTCTTTTTAGAAATTCCGTAAATTCTCGATTGTCCCCTCCTTAGGATCATTAATAGATCGGCAGGCGAGTGCGAGGATTTAGAGCGTAATGACACATCGCGCGCGCCTCTCTTACGAGATACTTACATATCATCGTTATAAGAATGAATCTGTAATATCGAGACGAGCCGAGCGAAAGTGCCTCGGCCGCATAAATGTCGGGCCGACTCGGCCGGGAACACCGAGAACGAATGGCTTAACGAATGTGGAGAGATCGGTGAACCGGAAGCGAAAGGCGCGCGCGCAGCTTCACGATTCGTTTGGTACGACGTATATACATAAGATCGTCAGTCTCCCGGGTCTTTAACGCTTCGCGGAACTAGAAATCTCCTTTTCACGCTCAAATCGCGCCGACTTTGTTCACGCATTTCTATAGCTCCACACTAATTCGAGCGAGAATTTTTCTCTGCCATCGCCGTAGATTGACCATAAAGGTGAATTCAAGTACGCGCACAAGTAGAGACGAGCTAAAGAGCGCGATTGACGAGAGACGAGAAATTCATTTTCATTGATGCGAACATTTGTTTATCGTAATTACTTTTCATACATCATCTTTTCTTATAAGTATAATATCGATTATAATATGCACATATATGTATAATATGCTTCTTCGCGTACGAGGAAATAAAATGTCTAACGGATTAAATCGGATTGATATTGTTGACGTATCGTTCTTTTATTACGTTTACATACATTCATCGCGGGAAATAATTGTTTCCACGTGTCGATTAAAAGTTAATTACCACGTTACGCTTGCGATGCAATGCGACCTTCGGCGCCTGTCGAGCCGGATACGGATATTTTCTATAGGCGCGCCCGCTTGTCAGATTACGGTGCGCGCGCTTTCGCGCAATCAGCGCGCCTCGGTAATTTCGCGCGGACGCGTTGATATCCTCTTTCCGAGGTTCTCCGCCGCGCGGGAAAAGACGGTGATTCCTACTTTTTTTTTCTTTTACGGGAGAACAAAGTCTATCTCGGGACTCTTGCAAATTGGAAACACGATATAAATGGAACGTGACCGTATACCTCGAAAGAAACCCCGGATGCAGGCGCGGAAAGACTCCGGTGCGTATTGGAAACGGGTGC